GAACAGACAGCAAACCTCCAAAAGAGCAGCAGAAACTCCAGCAAGGCCACACTACCTATGTACAGTTCTGACACAATACTGAATTCCCTCCAGTTATGGCTATATTACTGACTAGTATTCAAGACAACTTGGGATTTTTTCCAAAAGTTTTCTTCTCCATGTTTGGGGTTTTTTACTGCAATGAGGCTGTGCAGTACCTGAAATGTTTTCAGAAGTCATAGTCCTGCAGGAACATGAGCATATAGATAAAACATGCAGGTACTCTAATGACGGTTTTCACCAAACAATCTGAAATAGTTAAATCCTTCAAACCCCCTCCTCCTCCCACCCCCAAAACCAGAATTACTTCCTTCTTATATTTTTTTTTTCTTAAATAAGAAACTGATGGGAAAAATTAGTTTCAAGTTTTACCTTAAGATGGTCGTCTTCCCCCAAGTTTGACTATGGGTGACTGTGCACTTAAAAATATCTGAACACCACTGTTCTAACAAAATTCTGGGATATATTACTATTATGAAGCTAATCTGTAGTAACTGCTCCTCTGGAATATAATCTCCTTCACAGGGCCTTTCCCAGTCTCCTGGCAGCCAGATTTGGGACTCCAAGCTTGAAACTGTGAGCTTCCATTTTCAAGATGAGAAAATACTGGAATGATAAGAAACTTAAAAGTTAAACCATTTCAGACCTGCTCACACCAGCGTGAGAGATGTTTGTCTAAAATTGTGTGACTTTATCTTTTACAGGTCAGTTAAGCTGGCAAGAGCCATAACAAAACCAAAGCATTTTTTCTACATCAGGCACTTTATCAAACAGCAGTGAATCCTTGTTCTTAGGGGGGAAAAAAGGGAATCAAAGCAATAGGTCACTGAGCTTTATTCTTCTACTGACTAAATTTATCATGCTAGAATTTGTTCCTGTGAGAGTCACAATCTCCTTAGCCTATTTTTACATTTTGCTTCTCTTTTAGATCCACCTCCTCAATGCAGAGGTTGTTCCACATACCGTTCTCACCAATTCAGTAACATCCTGTTCGTGAGGAGAGTTCCTGGTTCCTCACGGCTGGATGCTATGCACGTACATGACTGATTCAAATATGATACGAAACTATTTCTGTGCAAAAACTAGATCAGTTTATTGCACAATGAGAAGGACTGAGCACAGTCCTCAACAATTCTTACAGCAATTCTGGTTTTCCTCTCCCTATCCTCAAAAGAAATCCAACTACACATGGATTTCATCGCTCTCATTGGCTTCACTACTGATATCCAATTTTTAAGCAGAAAATTTATACCAGATTTCTCAACACAACCATGGAAGCTCTAGATTTTTGTTGTTGTCTCCATGTGTTTCTTGTAGAGATTTTATTTGCTTTTTAGGATCTCTTCTACTACTGGGCGCACTCAGTGACTATTTTTAGACTCCTGCAAAATTCTCTAACACCCATACTTTTTGATTCGAGCTTTTCTTTCCTAAAATTTAAGTTACTCAGTAAAGCATATACAAACTGAGGAAGTATTAAATCATTCTACAATTGTGTTCTTCTTTATATTTTCATTTCTCTTTATGATTTGATTATGGGGGTTTAAATGAGTTTTTCAGACACATACAAACTCACCCCAATGGCCTCACTTTCTTACAGTAAAATACAAGATTTAACAAATTCTTTTATATCAGAAACAGTGAAAAGTCTCAAGCCAGACTATTAGAATAAGTCAGGGCCCATCATGGATGCTGCCACATTAAGTGGTCATGGTATAGCAGAGTGCCATGGAAATACACAAGGAGAAAGGGGACAACCAGAGGCTGAATTCTCTGCCAGGGAAAGCCAGGCAACAGCAAGTTGGGGTCATCAGCCTACTCTTCTGTGGCCTACAGAAAGGGATACCAGTAAACAAGAATTTATAGCAGCACCAAAGGTACAGTGAACACCAACCATTAAAACTTTTTCATTACTGTTTTTAGTAAACACGTTTGCAAAACCCCTGAAGGAAAGTCCACACAACCCTAGATCCTCCAACCACAACCAGCACCTGCTTTCCTGTTGCAAGAGAACAGCAATCCCAGAATGACATAACTAAACACTATGAAGAAGAAACTAGTGCTTAGAGGTTTAATGCAATCTGAGAGTTCCTTAAGGTACCATTTAATCAGAGCATTAGAAGGCAATCACCAATTTCTATGTAAGTAAACTATCAATAGACAGCTGCTTACTTGTATTTGAAAAATGTGCTTTCATGAAAGAATGTTTTTCTTGCGCACCTGATAACGAAAAATTTAGTTAAACTGGATTATTAAAAAACACTGGATATTGCAAGTAGCTTACAATCCAGCCCTTTAACAACAGTGCCTTCATGTGTTTATTATAGGCATTTTATTATTTTAAAGCTAAGGTTCAACTACGTTTTACAGTTGTAATTCTGTCCTCCTACATATCCACAAGCAAATTTGGTCAATTTCAAATTATTTGTAAAGCCTCCTACATAGAAAGGAGTTTGAGATTTTAAAATATACTAAGTTTAAAATAAACAAAGTCAACCTACCAGTGTCATAAACCTTGTGAACTGTCTATTTTTTGTTCTAGCCTAATAAGGCATCCTAGAGTGGCAAGAACCAAATTGTGAGAATGACTGTCCTTGGCCAGAGGTTGTATGCATATCGTATTTCATAACATTTTAATAATGTTTATTATGTAAGTTTCCCTAATTAACTTCTAAACTTACTTCTACATTTGGCATCTGTAACATCCTGTGGCAATGAGTTCCAATATGTAATTATGTGTTCCATGAAAAATCACTTATTTTAAACCTACTGCTGGGTAAGAGCTAGGAGTCATCAAAAACGTGTCACCAGAAATGATGAATAATCATGATCTCCCCATCCTCTCCATAACATTAGCAGCTTTATATACCTCTTGCATTTCTTCTGACCTAATTTCTTTTCCAAGCTGCAGAGTCCTAATCAACCTGTACAGGTATCTCTTTCTCCACACATAACCTGGTTTATCCTTAATAAAAGAAAGGACATCTGCAACTGTCGGTACTATTTCCGATCGGTCATGGATGTCGTCATGATGTTTGTATAGAACTATAATGCAACTTCAAGCCCTCTTTTTTGAATAGTAACAATTTAGACTGCCATGCATGTTAGCCAGTTCCCTCCTGCAAGCATTATTGTATAATATTGTATAGTTAATGCACTTGCCATTCTTCCCACAACTGTTCACAGATTTGAAGGATCTTAATATCGTGAATGGTGTATGAGTACTGATATTTTGTTGTTTAGCTCCTTTCACAGACTTATTAAAGCAGCAAAGATCTTCATATAGATCCCTGTAGGAGTCTACTCTTGGCTTGTAATGACTCATCTTCTATTCTCATTCTTTTTTTTCCTATCTTAAATAATTATCAACTAGAGAGGACTTCTCCCCTACTGTTGTGACTATCTGATTTCTTCAAGAAAGAAACTTTGCCAGAATTTGTGATGGACTAGGATGGTTAATTCATATGGGATATACAGTTCTAACATGACCATGAACTCACATCCAACTAAGCTACAATCTGTCTACAACAATCATGTTGGCTCTTTTTTGTTACTTTTTATTCTACGTGTACATGTTCATCTTCATATTTCTAAATGCATATCTTCCCATTTGACTATGAAGTGTTACTTAATCTTGATAAAGACTGAAATAAAACTTTCTAGGCTGTAGCTTCATGTAAATTATGCTACATTTCCAAATTCAGTGATTATGTATTCAGATTACTCCAGACCTGTTATTTTTCATTTTAATCAGCTTGATCTCAAAATTCTTCCCCAATACTTGAGTTTGAAACAGACCACCTGAGACATCTTAAGTAACCTCCAGTGAAAAAAGCTCCATATATCCTCTATAATTAACACAAATGCAAAAAGAATCTTTGTGAGATTTGGTGCTAAATATTTATCTTCTGCTAGTGTTCTCACAATATCTTGATTCCTACTGGGCCTGGAGACTACTAGGTCTCTTGTTTGTGATGTGACTGAAAAATTTCTCAAAGTTCTTTCTGTACCTGTCTTCTGGTTTTCACACATAACTTACCAGTTTCACATCCAAGTGTTTCCTACATTTGGTTACAATCTCTACTTTTTGAAGTCTCTTTACCTGTTAGAGATTTTCCTCCTTTGCAGTTCAATAATACTGAATTTGGGGTTTCTTTCTCTCCCTTATGACAGATGGCAGATGTTTAACATTTAATATGGTAGCACTTGACACCAGTAAAAGCCTTATCCTTTTAGCTGTTCCTTTTGACAATTTCCTAAGAAGCATGCTCCCTTAGGCACAGTTCTTTCCATAAGACGTTACAGGAACATATTTTACACTTCCTCTTAAAACAAAATGGCAAACATATTCATTATGGTTACTCTTGTAGGGCAGCCCAACAGTAATTTCATCTTAAACAAGGTCTTGTGCATTGCACGTTTGTCAAGAGCTACTACTCTTGTGAGCTGACAGCTTACCAGAAAACCCAGTGCATCATCCTTCACTTCCACATTTACTGAGTCTTCATACACATAACAGAACCATGTAATAACAGGAAATGGTTCTTCCCTCAGCATCTTACCTCCTATAGCATTTCATAGGAATGTTCCGTCTCATTAACACGGTCAGTGTAACCCTCACCCTCTTTTGCTCTATTTGCACACAAATTCAAACCATAAATGTACTTTCCTGTCTAGGACAAACACAGCTCTGACCACAAACCGTAACACAGAATAATGCATCTCCCAGAGTAGTTTGCATTCTTGTGTCTGCATAAATGTTTGCCCTTATACTAACATCCTCTTGTACCAATTTTCTGCGATGTCAAATATGTTAACATCTGGATTTCCAACCAGAATTCCATCTCTCATACTCAATTTTTCACATTTCAGATTTTGTCCAGAAGATCATCTGCAATTGTTACTGGTCTAATTGACTAATTCTAATTTTTTATAAAGAGAAGCAAGTAGGAAATACATACATGACGGTGTTAATCCCTGACAGTTGTTGAAACATCTGCAGACCACAACCCACAATTAAGGCTCTTCGAGTTGGAGGGTATGTTAGCATTCTGCAGATCACAGGTCCAGCTTAAAAAAAAACAAGACAACAACAAAAGAATACATAATAGTTCTTAAGTGATCGCTATCAAGACAATGTTGCCAGGCATAGCAGGCTTGGCACCTTAGTTTCAAACGAACTTGAATTATTTCAATTATTTTTGAACAATTCAGTCATTTCAGTTCTGCTTTTCTGCACTGTACTACAAAGACGATTTTCAGGAAGCCCAAGCAAAAAAATGAAACAATTTTTGTACACAGTGTCTGCTACTGATGTCAAATGTACAGCTCTCCTATATCATACTAACAGATGCACATCTGCTGCAACTGAATGTACTCAAGAGTTATCCCTGTTGTTTCCTTTCTAAAAGCTTCCACTGTTATTGAGAGGTTGTTTCAGAAATGCCATTACTCACTGCTAAGATCTGGATTTTGGAGATGAAGTGTTCTCCCTAGTCCCCCAAAGACCCAATTTCCACAAACCAGTTGCAAGTGTGGGTATTTGAAGGTATAGGATAGATCTATTCTCCACAGCTCTAGAGGCCTGCAGAGGGAGCAGAAATTAATTACATTTTTTCCATACCTTTGGTAGCAATGGTATGAGGCTGCATTCAAAATGCAGAAAACAGTTTCTTAATGAAGAAAAAAACCCCAAATTTCTGGCTAACAAAGATTTATTCTCTATTTAAAACTTTCAAAGTATCCTAGGGGAGAAAAAAAGTAGTACAGAAAGCTATGAAAGAATAGGAAAAAATTTTAAATCCCCAACTCTAGTATTTACATTAATTTCTTTCTGCACAGAGTAATGCTTTTTCACCTGCTGAAATATTTTATGTCTTACACATCTTATCACATCTGGCATATCCACTCAGAACATCTAATCACAATATGAATAGGTCAAAATTGCTGCCATCCAAAAAAAAAAGGGAGGTGGAAAAGGATCTACGATTTTACATTTTCAAAGTCTTTCCTAAAACTACAGAAAATATTAAAAGTATTGGTTCAGTAAAAAACCCTACATGCAGAGTTCCAGTTTCAGAAAACTGACAATCTTTGAACAGTTTCAAGAGTGGGACTCAAGCAAGGGGTTTAGATAATACTTTCTTCATTGAAAGATAATCAGACCTGCCTAAGAAAGATTTATTTTCATTTAAAATGATGGTATTTATAATTCATATCTCAATTGTATCATCGTTTAACTTTGCTTCCTTAATATTAATAGCAGAATACAGCCTTATGTATTTTCTAGTTGGTTTACAAGTAAGGTTAATATTTGGACAGTACACAGTTCCACATGTCCTGCCATTTAGCCACACCATTACCTCAAAATGTCTTCAAGTAAAATCAAGTGACAGATAAATCTGGTGACAGATAAATAGAGTCAATCCATAGATCTCATAAGATACTCTCAAGCAAGACACATGACATCACTGGGCCGACAACTACATCAAAGGGTTCCATAGTCAAAGTGGCATTTCCTCGGTGGAAAAACAACAAAGCTGGCACTCACTGCTAGCTAGGAGCAGTGCAGAGATCAGACATACTCTGGGATTTCTCCTCAACTCCAAGCTTCACAAAGAAAAAAGATTTACTAACAAATGTACCTATGAACTTTAATTCACCAGTGACAGCTCTCAGGTTCTCATATTTGGCATCACACCTGAGCATGGAGGCTTTGGGCTTAAAAACCTTATCTGGCAACTGATTCTGCAGTATCTATTCTAAATCCAGGCTGTTGAGATCTTCTGTTCTTCATAAACTTCCTGTAAGGGCCTTAACTGAGTTCAAAATCTATCTTTATTCTCAAGAGACCTTTCAGCCAACCTGCATCTTGCAGTCCATCATCAATGGTCATGCTCATTGAATAAGCTGGAACTCTGCAGCAGGGGCTGTCAGGAGAGTAGGCAGAAATGTCCCAAGGAACTGATGCAACGGATGTCCTGATCCATTCATCTATTTTATGGAAGTTATATAAAATTCTGTTCACAATGACACATTGTACAAAACAATTGGAAAGGAGACACTAAAATGAACAGCTAGAAATTAAAGCAGCTGTTCTCAGACAATGGTTTGCAACTCAGAGGGAGTCATGAAGTCTCAACAAAACTCCATTGCACAAATCAGTTTGTGCGCTTGAAGTGGGGCCCTGCAAAAATTTTGCAATAGAGCACATGCACTAAAGTTTGGACCTTTACATTAGAATTTCACACTTTAAACATTTAGAACATTCAGTCAGCTAAGTTCAATAAGCACTTGGAATTTTTCAGACTTCTGATTAATTGTATCACAAAAATGATGATAAAAATTATCATACTCGCTCAAGTCAGCGTTTAAAAAGATTCACTCCAAACCTGTACCATGGCAACTGCCACATATAAATAGGCATACACAAAATTAAAGGATTTTCTTTCATAAAATTCACAGCCTTCAGGTTTACAAACCAATAAATGGAATGAAAGAAATAAAAGAAACTGCTAATCTCTATATTAAAGGAGCATTACCAACTCAATGAAAAAGCCCAAAGGACTTTGACTGTGAGGTGAGTGGTTTTTAAAACAGAAAATGAGTGTGAAACTTCTTATTAAAATTATCTATCTCTGAAACTAACTATATTGTATTTGCATTTTCCTATCATTAATCCTTCCATCCATATTGTTGAGTTCATATGTTACAATCTTCTTAAAAATAAACACCTCTAGGCAGAACATGGGTTTTAACTACAGAGAATGGGTCTAAAGTAAAAAATGAAAAACAAACCAAGTTTTCAGAATTAAATAAATTTTTCTTCTGAAAATCAGTCTTCTGAAAACCAAAACTGTATTTCAGTAGTTTCTGATAGCCTTTAAATATGCTGTTAGTTATGACAATACATTAAAATGGCACAAAACAATAAAATCATTAAGTCTTTAAAAAACGGAGCAACTTAGCTGCTCATAGAACTAGAGGACACAGATGACTTAAACATAAATCACAGGAAAAAAATTAAATATCTGGCAATTTTTACAAAGGAAAAAATAGATATTTGTCTCCAAAAAGTCCGATTTTTTTTTGGTTTGTGATACTTCTGTCTTAATTGCTGTTGTTTTATTTCCAGCTAGATTTAGACACATTCCTGCATCGGAACCACTTCATTTAACTTGAAAAAGCACCAAGATGTTTGTTTTCCTTCTTCTAATCTATGAATAAAAATTAAGTCAGAAGGATGAGACCTCCTTAATGCCATGATTAATTCAATGAGACTAGATTTGGTTGGATTTGTTGTGCTGTGGTTTCAGATAATTCCTTTATCTGAAGTAAATTTCTTTAACACATAATTTTTACAAAAGTTCAAAACACGCTACAGCTTGCTCTAATGAGAGTCCAAAATGGCAGTATGAGATAAAGAGTAATGGAAAACCAAGGATACTGCTGCTGTAGAAGGTGACATTGCTTGAAGTGGTGATACTTGAAGTGGATTGCTGTGATCCAAGTGGATATTTCGTAGCTTGATCCAAACTGTCTACCAAACTGGACATTCATCCTTATAAGCAAAAGGCAAAATACAAGATTTGGAAGTTTAGCTTCACATCCAAAAAAACCTTATTAGATTACACTGAGCTAAACAGGGGAGGAGAAGCTGTTCTTGTCAAACCATTACTTCTGAAAGTGAGTGATGCTTTCCAAATATTACAATTTAATGCCAGTTTCCTATATTTTAGCTGTTATCCTTGTTATTAGGCATAACCCACAAATTAGGTTTGGACATTTCGAATCTCCTGGCAAAGGCACTTTGATTTTCCTCTGCAGACAAAATGAAGTGTATGGCAGTCATAGGAGCTTGGGTGCGATCTACTGCCAACTAAAAGACAGAGATAATTTTCAAAGGCAACACAACAAAAGCTCTAGTTCTAAAGGGAGTTTATATAATGAAAGCAGAAGAATGGGTATTAATGACATCTTAGCATCTCCGTGTGAAAATGTACTGCATTCTCTTCCAGGGGAATAAAAATATTGTAGGATAAAATCCCACAGTAAATGCAGGCAGACATCTGGTGCTTGGAAATCTTGTGATTCCCCATCCCACAAATTATTAGAAGAATACCTAGCAAAATTTCACAGCCAGGAAACTATGGTTAGAGACTGGGCTCTGCCAAAGTCATTTGCAGGTTCAAACATTTATTTGCCAGCTAATTTAGGTAACAGCTTGTAGCAACAGCCTAAAACTATGTAGGGATCCTGCCAGCATTTCGTGCTCTTGCTGTAGAGGGTTGTTTCCAAAAAAGCAGGCTTAGCCAAGCAACAAGACAGTCACTCATCAGTTGAGCATCAATTAAGCTCAAGATTCAGACTTGTTTTCTGGACCTTTTCTTGTTCTAACATCAGTCAATACCCTCTCTTCCACCTAGATAAATCTTCAAGGAATTGATCTACAGTTAAAAATAACGGACCAAAGAAAAGGAAGTTCGGGTTTGCAATCTCAGTAACAGAGGACAAACATGGGAACCATTTCTCTGTTTTAACTTTCCTTACAAAATGACAGCTTCCAGTCCAGCTTTCTCTGCATCATCTGCAGAACCTTCCTGCAGAATCTTACTTCACCAAAGACTCCTCCTCTAAAGCACTTAGATATAGCTATTATTTTCTATGTATGAATGATATACTAAAGTAAAAACCCTTTTCTTCTCCTTGTCTATTACATGATTATTTTCTGAAAGTATCAACTTCATTCATTTTTCCTTTCTGTAAAATTTAACAAATCAAAAGATAACTAGCTTTAAGATCAAAACTGCATTAACTATGCTGAAAAGATGCAAAATAATTTTACTTAAGTACCATGTTCTTTCCCACTGTCTTATATTGTTCCCAGTAACGTTGGAAGAACCACTCCCAGCATTGGAAGAAACTTCCTCCCTCATATAGTTCACTAATCCTTTGAGAAAGCTTGCTTGAGGTTTTACAACTTTCTTCTTTACAGTGTAGTTCCCTATCAGCCAAGAAGGAGAAAAGATCATCAGTTTGCTTAATCATGAGTCTTAGTATTTTTCAGCTTT